TTCAACTTTTGTCTCATCTGTCCACAGAACACTGTTCTAGTAGACGTGTGAAACATCCAGGTGGCCTTGGGCAAACTTGAAATGTGCGGCAATGTTTTTTTATTGGAGAGCAGTGGTTTCCTCTGTTTTATCCTGACATGCACACTCTTGTAGTGTGTTTCTTATTGTGGGGCCATGAACACAGACATTAGCCAGTGCAAGAGAAACCTGCAGATCCTTAGCTGTTACCTGCTCGAAAATTGTATGGCTCGCTCTTGTAGTGATTTTTGTTGGATGACCACTCCTCTGGAGAGTAGCAAAGGTAATTAATTTCTTTTATTTGTACACTATCTGTCTGACTGTGGATTGATGGAGGACTAAGTCTTTAGAAATGCTTTAGTAACCCTTTCCAGCCTTATGAGCATAACTCTTCTTCTGAGGTCCTTGGAAACCTCTTTCCATTGGGGCACATTTCACTTTGAGAAATCTGTCTTGTGAAGAGCAGACTCTGTAAACAAACTGTGGAGGTGTTTTATATGGCAGGGCACCTCAAACTCCCACCTGAATGTAATCTCACTGATTGGAACTCCTGACTCCAACTAACGTCTTTAAAAGTGAGCATCACATACTTTTTTCCCCAGCACAGAGAGCGAATGTTTCAACAATTTGTTCAATTTAGACAAGAAAAAGCAGAAACGTTTGTATATTATTTGTTAAATCAGATAGTATTTATCGATTATTATGACTTAGATGAAGATCAGATCACACTTTAGGAGCAATTTATAAAGGAATACAGATGATTCCAAAAGTCTTCACAAACTTTTTCTCGCAACTGCATATGTATATAACTGGTAGTGGTAGGTTAAAATGAAAAATAAGGTACAAAACACTACAACACCTTCTTCATGAACATTCTTGTATCATATTCTTTAACTTGGTCACTTCAGCTATTTTTGAAAGTCTCAACTACTCGTTTTAAGTTTCAGATTAAAAACAAACAAAATATGATTGAAGCACTAACCACCAAGGCAGAGCGGGGCTTGAAGGGGCCAAGGAAGCAGGGGCCATGGAATTCTGGGAGGTGCACTTTTTGCGGGCAGTGATTGCTTCAGCTTTCCCAATCTTCGACTCTATTCTTTCTCCAGAGATGTGTTATTATGGAATTATCTGTTCCTTCTCTGATTTACCTAATTTCCTAATTACATATTCTCTAAAATATGACAATGTGTTTTTTCAACCTTTTTTTGTACATTTTAATAACCCATTACTTAATTTTAATTAATTTGAAACCAATTATTACTGTTGTCAACTGTTACTCTCATGTCAACTACGTGACTTATAAATTAATGTTTAAAATACATAGGACTGTAATTATATCTATTTTATTTGGTTTGCATTATACAAAAAGAATAATATTATCTAATTTGCCAAAATGAATTAATATTTTCATTTTTAAATGTGACTTTCATGAAAGAAAGGTAGTACCACAAGGTGTTTTTTGTGATTTCACATTTGATAGATATTTAATTTTAGTTCCTCTTTATAAAATAAACTTAAAATAAGTATGGGTTAAGGGACTTATGAAGTTCTGTATATCCATGAATTGTTTTTATAGTGTGTGACACAACCCCTCCACTGTAAATTTTTCACTACATTCATATGGGGGCTGCCCCTGTGTTCCTAGGTGCAAACTTTTCAAACCTTCACTGAAGTGTTCCGAGACTTCTTGCATCCCTACAGATTGTGATTCTGAATTAGGCAATATATATTTGTAAACTGTAAACATTGTTAACCTTTCTGAAATTGTAAAATAAATGAAAGCTAGTAAACTAGTCATGTTTGAAGATCATACCAATTTAGGAGGATGAGGAAACAGAAACAGAAAATTCAATTTATAAAAGATTTTGATAAAATTCACATCTGGGTAACAGCTAGTAGGTGATAATTAATGTAGATAAGAGCAGGGTTTTGAAATTGTTTTGAGGCACTTACTTTAAATGCTGGGGTAAAGCCCTCAGAACTCTACTATACAGTATATAGTGAACAATCCATTGATTCCTTTCCCCTAGAAATGTTATTGTTTTTATGTAAACAGTACTGAAATGTATAAGAATAAACGAAAATATTAAAGTCTGTTCAACTATTCTCGGTTTATCCAATCCTGTAAAGATGAAATGATTATCAGAGTGTACCAAAGGAGCAGAAATCAAACTTTTGCCACAAAGCCAAAATACTTATGACAAAATGTTTTTGATTAATAAAATGCTATTTTTTTGGAGTGTTTCTCTATAATTTTGTGTAAGTTTTTGTTCAGTGTTTTTTATTAATAGCATTTTATTTAAAAAAATGTTTTAAAGACTTCTGGTTCATTTGGTTTCACTTCCTCAGTAAGCAATTATAACATCAGTAATCTTAATTATTTGTTGACGGCACACCAGTATGCAGAGGCACAGGAAATTTAAGTCTTTGCCACACCACTTGGCAGTGTTACAGATGAGTGCAGTGCTGTATCTGACAATTGGGGAAAAATAAGAACAAACTGTTGTACATGACCTATGTAGAATGCAGTGCCTACTGTGGCATGCCTATGGACACCTTACGCGTTATAGATCGCTGTATCTACAACAAAAAAGCACAGATATTTTCCCTTTTGTGGTTTAGTAAACCAGACTGCTTGGCCACTAGGATGTGTTTCTGCACTACAATGTTCCAGATCTAAGAAGGGATGTAAATAATGTTTTAAAAAATCAGTTAAATATTTGACGTTTACCAATTAATCATTTTAATCATAGTTAACCATAAAGACTTTAAATACTCATATACTGTATACTTTAAATCATCGTTAAAAAACGTCTACTGACACCTAATCTAACATAAATTGACATAAATGATGAGTTACAAAAAAGTAAAAGAGCTCTTCATGATTATAAGAGGAGGCACATTCTGTAGAATATTTACTTTTAAAATAAACTGCAATAAAAATGTAAAGTTTTTAAGGATTGAGCATATTTCATTGAGATGCACACTTATGATAGCTTTCTTTTGAAAAAAAAATGAATGCCAGTTCTTTTTTGAGTAGTTTTGAAATGTGTTTGTTTCAGAATATTTTATTTTATAGAAATCTAATGCAGTACTTAACATATTTAGTACACATCTTAAAAATATATAATACAGTATTGCGAAAGTTACAAATAATAATGACATAATTCTTAAGGTTTTTCAAAGAATGAACAAATACCGTATATTTTTTTGAACAGGTATCGGCTGTGGAGCCTTCTTCAGGTGTCAATATATGCTCTTTTACCTGGGAAGCCATTAAGTATTTATTATTCTATTTACTCCATGAAAGCTTTCTTGAAATGTTTTATTGTGGCACCGCATAAAATAAAGATGCAAAGCCAAGTTTGAGCCCTGCCTTACCCAGGCTCTATGACAAAGTGTGGCCCCCCCGGTACATCCAAAGAGCAATGAAGATTTTATATTGTATTTACACTATCCTGGTTCTTAAGAGGTTTAACATGAACTGACGTGTAAAAATGGTACCGTACCGATTTTTGTTTACCATTTAACCTATTACAACCTGAAGTGTCATACTGTACCATGGATAGGAATAAAAAGGACTAAGTGAATTTTCTGAGGTAAAAGTAATACTTAAGGTACATCAGAAGGCTCAGTATGCAGAGATTTAAAGCTCTACTTTATATAATCCATTTGATTGCACATGAATGCTTTCATGCAGATTATTTTCATATGATAAAATTCATCCTGTTCATTTCTCATTCTACAGTATCTTCTAATAAGACAGTCAGGATGGAACTAGATAAACCAACAGAGGATTCCTCTGAAATCATTAATCTGACACAGAAGGCCTTCAATATTAATGCAAAGTTGATGTTTGAAATAAACCCCATGTATTTTAAAACTCAAAGTGCAATATCAATTTAAATTGAAGGCTTACAAGCAGATTTTCATTCTGCAATTGTCTGCATTTTTCCTGTCAAATTCTAAAGGCTGTTATTTGATCACATGGGCTTTCCATTGCTGTTTATTTGTCCTTTTCTGGCAAAAATGTTTTTTGTTTTTTCTGGGAGTTTTAAAAATTGTTTACCGCCCCATTACTAAAACAACAATGTTAGTGACAAGCAGTCACAAGTCAGAAGCTACAGTGCATTAGTATGATTCTTAATATTTACTTTTGTATTTCCTAGTTCTAGAGCAGATAAAATGTCTACTATACAGCGCACTATTGAAAGATGCAATTTTTACTTTTTAAATAGAGTGGACAAAAAGCTTTACCCAGGTGTACCTACACTGAAATACCTGCACATTTCAGATTTGAGATTTCTTTTCGACAGCACAAAGCAAATTCCATGCCTTGATTCTTTTAAGTTTACATGAAAAATTATGGTGTTGTAGTTTTTCAGAAACAAACAAGCTGGGACATAGGGACACCATTTATCTTATATTGTACACTCCTGTCCAGTCCCCCTTGTAGTCCATGCCAACAGACTATGTACTCTGTTCAAAAGCATTTTATGTCACATGACTCCCATTACTAGATTGGAATATTGTTCTGTGACTGAGAAGGGTTGATTCAAATCAAACTCGCTAATGACCAATAACCCGATTATTCAGATAGTGACGACAAAGTCACCACTGTGCATTGGAAGATGGCTCCCACCGGTGTCTCTCAGACCAAGAGTAAGTTTTTTAGAGCTGAAGTGTTTGTGTAGGGGGTGTTGGATGATGGAGATTCTATTTTTTATGTGTGGGAGATGTTATTGAAAAAAAATTGTGCTTTGTAAACTAACTGTGCTTTGCACACAGAAGCAAAGGTATTCAAAGTACAAAGTTATCTTGATCATTGTCCTCATACAGGAATAAGAAAATAAAACTTAATGCAGGCCATGTTTACTTTAAGAGATAGTAAGTAATGACAAACGAGATGAGACAGGGAGCAAATGGGAAAGGAACAACTAAACAAGCCCTGTAATTACTCATTCGCACTCTTATCTTTGCAGCCTCTCCTATCGAACGGGACAGGACACGGCAAACTGTGACACTTGTCGAAACAGCGCATGCATTATTTACAGGTCGGTTTGAAGTTTTCTTTACAATTACTTCATATTCCTTTTTAAGAACACACAAACTGGACTGTATAACTTTCACCCTAGGATAAATCATTTTGTAGCAATGAGGACTGGCTAAACACAAAGACAAACCGCAACAAAGTGCGCTGCTAATTCGTGCACACATAAGATAAACAGTCCTAAGACAGATATCTTGTAAAGATACAAGTAATACACTTAACCCTTCATTTGTTTTAGCCCGTTTCAGTTATAGCTCCTGTTATTTCCTAATTCATTTTCACAGATGCATCTCTGACTTAGGAAATTTCAAAATGAAAGGAAAAATCGCTTACAACCTGATTCAACAAGAAAGAAACACAGGAAATGAGAACAAAATAAAAAGAATAAATAAAAGAAAAGTGACAGATGGAGTCAGGCTGGGGTACACTGATTGTATTGCTCGAGTCTTTTATAAGAGATTGTGGAGGAAAATGCTGTTTGATTTGAAGGCACTATCCGCAGATCAAACATGCATAATACTGGTGAGGAATGAATTGTGAAAGCATCTTTTTTGTGCATTTGTACTTGTATTTGTGCTTCTCCACATATACAGCAAAGTTTCTTGTACCCATGTCTTAAAACAGGTTAGCATACACACTGAGAGACATACTGTACATTACTTTCTTAAAACAAATAAATAACATAGACATTAGTAATATTAGCATTACCCTTTGGCACTCATATAAAACTCTAGTATTTATTTATGGTTAGATTTTAACTAAGCAAACAACTGGTTTTTAAAAAAATCAGTGCATTTTTTATATTCATATAACAGTGGTACAAAATATGACATGTTGCATGTCACAGCACCTGACTCAGTCTTTATTCGTGTAGTCTGGGGATCTCCAAAAACAAGGTGAACCAAACTCCAGGTGCTATGAGGAAATTACCAGCCTGTAAATAATTAAATTTATGTCCCTGAACACACTTTGTGGGGCTCTGTTATGAACTTCCAGAACTGTGACAGAGGCTTCCTTTTTTAAAAATCATCCAGCATACAAGATTCTTTGAAAGAAACCATGCAGTGTTAAACAGCTTTGTATGCTCAATTCATCCAGGGCACTGCCTAGCAGCTTTTATGATCTTATGTATGTTTTCTTGATAGATTACTGGGCATACTGAATTTCCTGTCACTACACAGCCTACTGTATATCCATCCGCAAGATGTTTAAATTCTTATGTCAGACCAAAGACCCACTTCATATATACTGCCCTCTGGTGTGTAACAGATGCTTACAGACCATGATGCCCTGTCATGAGGTAATTGCAATTCAAGAAGTTAAGATTGCTTTGAAGGTTAATTTAATACAATTCTTCTAGCTTTCCTACGCTATAGCTCCTGGAGGCCTGGTTTCAAACTTGGGTCAGGTCAAAAGGAAACTTAATGAATGCCAGCTCAGAACAGAAACTTTAATTTAACAAATATTATACAATATCACAAAATCAAACAATAAACTATATGTTTTTCTTCTTCCATTTCCTTTGTGTAAAAATATGCCTTACTGTACATAGAGTACATGTGACAATTTAAAAAAAAAATACATTTATAGAGAAATAAGAGCCCTTAAGTTAGAATTTGTTTTCTGAAAAATCAGTTAAAAGTGTTTTTAAAAAAATGCAAAACCTTTCATCTCTCAGTGATATCAGATAAAAAATATATTAAATATTCCTGCATCACACTGTGAAGCCACACAATGTTAAAGTTTATTATAGAAAATAATTTGCTTAAAAATACAGAATCAGTCTTGTAATGTTTTTTTTTTCAGTGATGAGGAGAATGAGTCCAACTCATCACTGGAAAAGATCTAAAGAGGCTTGTCTTTAGATGGCCTGGAGGGCTTCTCAGTTAGGGGAATCGTGATGTAATGTAGGCCCTGTTACCACGTGAGGCACTGGTCTAAGAGAAATCACTTGTGTTAGATGTGATGGAATTAGGTTAAGATTGTCAGCAGAAATTCTGAGTTTTGATAGCATAACTCCAAGCTGCTAAAATGAGAATGCTGGGTACTGTATACGAAATAATATCTTACACCACTGTAAAGTGCAGAATGAGATGGAAAGCTACTGTGCTGAGAGGCATGGCCAAAAAGCACCATCTTAAATGACATACATCCAACTACAGGAAAAAAATACATTCTAAATTTGAATACAATTTGTGCACAAGTCTTCCAGAACACATTCCTGGCAGTGCAGCACTGAGGCGCTTTGTCACTCTTATCGTTTCACTGCATGATATGAAAAAAAATCATATTTATATGTTATTAACAGCCTTTCTCGGGTTTTGCATTTTTATTATTCAGCCAATATGATGAATAAAATCAAATCCTTTATGTACAAAGATTTAACTATTACAGTATTTGTCAATGTACATTTATTTCACTGGATAAAGACTGTTATTGGATTTGAAGCGTATCATGTTTTGAAGTATTATTTCCAAAGTACATGCAATTGTAAGACTGAGTTTTCTGATGTTTCGTAAATAGATGAAAATGTCATGGTAACAGGCTTTTATAAGCTTTCAAAACTCTGAAGATCTCCTCTTAGTATGTGGCACACAGCAACTGCACAGGGATAAGCAGGGAGGTGTATTAAAATTACTTCATATATCCACTACATTTCTAAATAAAATCAGTCACAATCACACAAATGCATAGCCACACTTCTGAAAGCCTTTTTTGAAAATGATATAAAATAACATAAAGCCATACAGTACTTCATAGAACTACATACATTTAGGCAGGGCATTCTTCTTGCCATTGTTTCACTATTGTGGAGAAAGTAAACTCTCAAGATTAACTTCCAGATTAGAAAGAGTCCTAGACTTGCATAGCAACAGTAAATTACTATTAAGGAATGTACGATAAGTGGGAAATAGGGTCTGTGAAACTACTGTACTTGGCAGAGGTGCAGGCTTGCTGCAGATTTAGCAGGATAGAAGATCACAAGGTGAATCACAATTTTACATATAATGATACAAAGCAGAAAAAAACCTTAGTATGCAGTAAAGAAAGAAAGAGGAAAGGATTACCTTTTGTTTCTTCATTATTTTACAGTAACTGATTTTATTTTTTAATTGAAACAATGACATTAATTTCTTTTTTACAAATGTTCTTCACTGCAAATTTCTCACAAACTATATTGCGTATTAAAACTTTTCCAAATATGACAGACTTTTCGCATTACTTTTCAACCAGTGCAAGTGGAGGAGAACAGAAGTTAAATGGCTATGAATCAACAGCTCTGCTGACAATCTGAGTGCATTCTGTAACGGCAATGCTGTATGAATGAAAAAGTGGCTTGTAGAAATGATTAATGTAATTATTTTTTTTTCTTGAGATGATCTATAATCTTGGAATACTAATGTGATACAGCACATTTGCCACAGTCTAATTAAAGACCATGATGGCATGAAAGAGGATTTAAAAGGATTCAATTTATTTTAAGACTAGTGCTTTAAGCCACAGTGCTTCTTGATGCTTTGTTCATCTGGAAACCCCATAATCTAATTATCTTATACCTCACTGCTGAAGCCTAATATGTTGATCAAATGAGAAGATACCTCTAAACATTTTGATTATAGAACTTTGCTTTAAGCAAAATGCATAATTAAAGAACTTCATGATTTTCATGTTCTTTTTTTCCCCCTAACACTTTTGAGGTGAAGCCACAGAGCAAACCTCAAGAATGTGATTTTAGGCTCACTTTTAAATATACTTTTTCTTCCTCTGTATTTAACTGTCATCAGTTCTTTTGTAACAAAACCATCAGATTTTATTAGAATTAATACAGTCAATCTTAAACCTCATTCAACTAAATTCTCCCACACTTCACTGATATAAATGGTACAATACCAGTGTATCTGTTAATCTTAAAGACTATTTATGCATCATGGGTACGTTTGTTGCATTAATTACATACAGTATGTACAAAGCATGCAATGAATAAACACATAACAGCGACTGCCATTAAGAGCAAACACCAGTTTTCTATATTCAGAAGGTATGGAGAGGTGAAAGATGTTTTCTGTAGAGTTGAATGCAGAATTTGCAGTGCAAATGAGTTGCCAAAATCATAGCTTGTTAATCTCCAGAAGTGGAGGCTTGTGGCTATCCAGGCAAGACAGTATATTTTGTGCATCTGTAAAGATGTTTGATGCAGAGCTGTTGGCACTGGAGCTTTATACTAAGGCAGCTGGTTGCCATAGATACCAAAATGATACTTGTGGGAATGTGGCAGTGGGACTGAATGAACTCCACGAGCACTCTGAGGAATTCCAGTTCAAATTCTGTGTACAGATTGGTGAGGCTGGGGACAAGAGACAGGATGCTGAGAAGAAAATGAAATATACTGTATAGTGGAAGTGGAAGAAAAATATCATCTGTGGATCATCACAATGAGCCCAAAACACAGGACTGAGCTGAAAGGTTAAAGAACAGCAATGTCTGAAGTGTTTTTAGGGATACTTTGAACAGATGATATACTTAGGGAATTCCTTACAAAGAGACAAAAAACATATATGGCATTTGAAAACCATGACACAGTAGTACACAGATGTCAAGCCCATGACAATTTAATGAAAACCTACTGATAAAGTGGCAACACAAAGAATGATTGTTTCATTAAAAACCTTTAAAAAAATCAAAGAGGAATTGGTCATCAGCTCTCAAGATTTCTAAAGAGGAGGTCTTCTAAAAGAAGTGGTCAGATTGCATTCACTCTGTTCTCATTTTAAATGGTTTTGTACACTTTGGCATATAACATGATTGGGCATTCATAAGAGGAGACAGTACACCATCCAAGGATCAATTACATTTATTACATTACAAGTCAGAGCAAGAAGAAAATGTTCAATACAAGAACACACTGGTGCTAATGTGTACTTTCTGATATGGGAAAATATGTATTTCAATGATTGTCAAAAATGTGGACTTTTATTACATTCTACTTTAATACACTAATTTCTC